CCCCAGTGTGCGACCTCTCTGAAAATCAGGAAGACCCTCAGCCTACTCCTCTGGGTTTCTAGCAGTCTTTCTTGCCAGTGGGACTTGCAGAGGCAATGTGTAAAAGCTGCGGCTCACATTCTGTTCCAGCCAGGAGGCCACTGGGATTCTCACAACTGCCTGGAACACATAGGGCTTTAAAGAAGCAAGGGTTAAAAAAATCACCCCTTTATATTAAAAAGGAAACCTGAATTCTGTCCTTAAGTACCAATGCTATCGAGATCCTCTGAAGAGTAAGACTGTATTAAGGGCAGTGTTTTAATTGATGGGCCCAAATCAGAAGCCACTAAATGTGTGGTAATTCTCTCCAAAGAATAGAAAACGAGGACCAGTGAGCAGATGGGTGGATGGGGTGGCTGAACCCCACATAGCCTACTGTGTAGTTTGACTCCCAAACACTGTGGCTTAAAAAACATGCTCTTCACATGCGCTCAAAATTCCAAAAGTAGGTAGAATTGGAAGAGAAGGGATTACAGCATGACCATTCCCCATGGGACAGGGGGTACTTTCTTGCTTTCTCACTCTCCCCCTCTCTGTCTCTGGCAATTGCATGTGCCCTCTGGCAATTAAACAGAAAGAAACACAACTAGTACAGAGGAGAAAAAAGCCAGCCCTGTGAAGAGCACTTGAAAGGACTTTCCATGCATAAGAAAAGGCCAGAATATTCTAGAAATGACCAGAAAGCCATCATAGCTAGAAAGAGCAGATTCAGAGAGAGGGGGAGGATTAGGATGAGACTGCAGTGGTAACAGTGAGATTATTTTGCCCACTCTGTGGACAGCAGATTAAGGAAGGGAAGGACAGAATTTGACAAGTTATAGGACTCTCTTAGAAATCACAGAACTAGGACCAGCAAATGGCACAATGGTTGTTGCTGGACTCCTACATGGCTGACTGAGGTTCGAGTCCTAGACCCAGAGGCTTGACACTCATGCCAGACACATATGTGTACATGCCCAAAATCCTGAGAGGAGAATGGAGGAGAAGGAATTGCAGTGTGGCTGGTTCCCCCGGGGGGGGATTTCTTGCTTTCCATCTCTCTGTGTCTCTCCAGCAAGTGCATGTGCCCTATAGCAAACAGTCTCTAAAAAAATAATAATAATAATAAAAAGGAAAAAAAAATGACAGAACCAACAGAAATGTACAGAAAAACGGAGAGCTGAGATACGTGACAGGACCTGCCAATGGCCTGGAATCAGAGATGGAGGGAGAGAGATGCAATCAAGACGTGCCACTAGGTGACTGGGGTCATTTTACCACATCTGAGAACAAATCCTAGAATGTCAATTTATTTATTTATTTTTAAAGAATGATTTATCTTACTTATTATGATTACTTTAACTTGCTACAGTTATCATCACAGAGAGAGAGAGGGAAAGCAAGGAAGCAAGCTGCCACATCTGGAACTCGAATGGCAGCCAGCCATGTGGGAGTCCAGCACCCCAAACACCAAGCCACTCACTGACCCAGAATGTCATTTTAGACATGTTCCATTTGAGAAGCCCATGGAGATGTCAAGTCCAAAGCTGACTACCTGATGTGGAGTTTGGAATGGTAGTTTAGGCTGGAGAAAGAAACATGGATGTTAAATATATGCAGGCCTGACCACATTTTAACAAACTCCCTCTGTCCCGTCCCTAGAACACGCTAGATTCATCTCATCCCGATTCCCATCGATTATCTGTATCTCCACTTTCAAAAATTTCTTTCTTTTTATAAATTTCTGCTCTAACACTCACCAGAGAGACAGAGAAAGAAAGTGAGGAAGTACTGCCCCAGGGAGGATGGCCATGCCACAGTCCCTTCTCTTCCATTCTCCTCTTGTGATTCCGGGCATGCACGCATACACATTCAGTGTGTTTTTCAAGCCACCGGGTCTGGTACTCAAATCCTGCAGTTGGCTATATGGGATCCAGCCGCTTTAAACGTCACGCCATAGGCTGACTCCTGTATCCTCACTTCCATTCTCCAGCGGCACTACAAGCGACCCAAGGGCAGGGATGGTCTCGGATGTCCTAGCCCCATCCAGTGCAGTGTGTAGGAGGTGTTCTATACATATCTTTCAGATTCAATCATTGCATTAGTGATACAATTTTCCATCTATATAGACCACTGTAAGAGTGTGTGAATGTGTGTGTGTGTGCATTTGTGTGTCTGTGTATAAAGATTAAAAATTATTTATATGACTAAATGATTTACAGATGGAATCGAGCAAAATCTATGGTTCCTATTTCCTTTTCTAGCAATGATACTATTTTAAAGTTAGATTATCTAACTTTCCCATCAAAGTTTCTCAAGAATTGTGGAGTGTTTTGGTTTTTAAATTTTCATTTGCTTTGTTTTAGTTTGGCTCTAGTACTGTTAATAGTTTCTTTTATCCCTCAGTATATGTCTTAGGAGGAATACAAGGTGATAAATTTGTGGTCACATAAACTTTCTTGTTCTTAGGTATTTTGTATCTACCTTTTGCCATATAACACTCTGCTTGGTACTAAGAAAGGGCATTTTGGAGGCCAGCAGGTGGTGCAGTAGTTAAGGTGCTGGACTCCCACATTGCTGACTGCAGTTCAAATCCCAGACTTAGCAGTTTGAAAATCATGCCAGGCAGGTGTTTATACACACCCCAAAGTCCTGAGAGGAGAATGGAGGAGAAGGGATTGTGGCATGGCCATCCTCCCCTTTGGGGGTGGTGATTTTTCACTTTCCCTCTCACTGCCTCTCTCTCTGATGAGTGCAGGTGCCATATGGAAAAAAAAAAAAAAGAAAAAAAGAAAAAAAAGGCCATTTTAGAAAATATGAGAAAACAGCTTTTTAAAAATAAAGAATTATTTATTTAATTTTATTTATCATTATTGTTATTTTAAAAATTTTGCTACAGGACACATGCACGAGAGAGAGAGAGAGAAAGAGAGAGAGAAAGCAAGCCTCCAGGTCCGGGACTTGAACCATGGTCGATCATGTGGGAGTCCAGAGTCTTAACCACCATGCCACCTGCTGGCCCCTAAAACATCTCTTTGCATTGAGAAAAGATTTACAGAGCATTCAAAGGATACACAATGCAAGTTCAAGTGAAAACTTAAACAGAAGTTTTCCTGCCTGAAGATCTTCTCAACTTTATATATCTACTTTAGATTTTTGGTACCAGTAAAAATGCATTGTAACAGTTCATTTTTTTCTTAAAGAATTATTTAATTTATTATTTTTACTATGCTTAATTTGCTGAAAAAGAATCACTGTCATAATTAAATTGTTTTCATTAAATTTTAATAAAATTTTAATGTGATCAGTTTTTGCCTTTATTTAAAGATTACTTCTGCTGGGACCAGCAGATGGAGGAATGGCTATGTCACTGGACTCCCACGTAGTTGACCGTGGTTGGAGTCCAGGACCCGGTGGTTTAAACTCAAGCCGGGTACGTGTGTGTACATGCCCAAGATCCCGAGAGGAGAATGGAGAAGAAGGGACTGTGGCATAGCCATACCCCCTGGGGGGTGATTTCTCACTTTCTGTCTCTCTGACGAACGCACACACCCTATAGCAAAAACCTTTCAAAAAAAAAGAAAATTACTTCTGCTGTTGCCCAGTCGTGGTGGTGCACAGGTAGTGCCACTGTTTGGGAGGCTGGAAAGTGCATGGAACACATAGGTTCAGTTCCCAGGTCAGCCTAGTCATGTTGGACACAGTTTTGCACACCTCTAATCCTAGCTAATTGGGAGGGTGAGGCAAGAGGATTACAACACAGGAAGATTCTGTCAAAAAAATACCAATCTCTGTCTTTCTCTCCCTTTGTTTCTTTCATAAAGGAAAAACACATTATTTACAGTATAGTTCTGCAATGTGAAAAAGTCAAAAACATGTATTTAACACTGAAAAAATGATTAAGTTATGGGGCTAGCAGGTGGTATGGAGGTAAAGGTTCTAGACTCCACATGGCTGAACATGGTTCGAATCCTGGACATGGTGGCTTGAAAATCACACCAGGTGAGTGCGAATATGTCCAAAGTACAGGGAAAAGAAAGGATTGTGATGTGGCCATCTCCCCTGAGGCATTTCTCACTTTCCCTCTCTCTGTCTGTCTCTCTTGGATGTACACACCCTACAGCAGAAAAACAAAACAACAACAACAAAAAGCAATGATATATCCATAAAATTATCATATAGCCATTGAAAATCATGATTTCAAGCCAGCAGGTGGCATGGAGGTTAAGGTACTAGATCCCACATGGCCAGCCTCATAGATTGAGTCCTGGATTCAGGGGCTTGGGAATTACACCAGGCATGTGTACATGCATAAGTGCCCAAAAACCTGAGAGGAGAGTGAAGGGATTATGGTATGGTTATTCCCCCTTCAAGGGTGGGTGATTTCTCACCTCCCCCCTTTTTTCTGTGGTGTGCACATGTGCCCTATAGCAAAATAAATAAATAAATAAATAAATAAATTATGATTTCAAAGAATATTTTTAAAAACACAGGAAAATGTCCATAATGTATTAGTGAAAAGTGTTTAAGTTAGATGTAAAGCATAATTCAAAATTTGTAAGACTCTATAAATGGGGTCTAGACTTACAGAAATGTGACATTTATAGCATAGAAACAAATTATAAAGTAGTAGCAGTGGTTATCTTTGGTACTTGAATTATAAGTAAATTTAAATTTTGTTACACATTTCTCTACAAAGGTTAAAGAAAAAAATATTACCTTTATTATTAAAAAACAAAGCAAAACAAAACAAATATTGGGGCCAGCAGGTAGCATGGTGATTAAGGGTGTTGGACTCCCACATGGCTGACTGTGGTTTGAGTCCCAGATCTGGCAGCTTGCTTTCTCACTTTCTCTCTCTCACTCTCGCCCTCTTTTATCAAATGAAAACAAAATAAATAAAGTTAAATAAAATAATTTAAAGAAGCAAATATTATTTTGAACAATAACCTACTTGGGAACCTTTGCTTTCTTAGTCTTACCTGATTCTTCTCTTTCTCATGTTCTTGTTGAAGAGCTTGAACTCGAGCTGTCCACTTGCTTTCCTACAAATGAGTAAAACAATTAAATTATGGGCAATTGTAACAAAGAACCTACTCAACACAAAAGCTTTCTTTTTAGTGGGTACCTATGAAACCCAACTATACTTTTTAGAACGTATGTGGTTAAAAATGCTTAAACACATTTGCACCTGGTTTTTTTTTTTTTTTTTAGAGGTTTTCACTATAGGGCACGTGCGCTCGCCAGACAGACAGAGAGAGATATAGAGACAGAAAGCGAGAAATCCGTCCCCCCCGGGGGGGATGGTCACGCCGCAATCCCTTCTCCTCCACTCTCCTCTTGGGATCTTGGGCACGCACGCACACATGCCCGGCATGAGTTTTAAGCCACCGGGTCCGGGACACGAACCGCAGTTGACTACGTGGGAGTCCAGCGACATAGCCATTACGCTAACTGCTGGTTCCCATTTGCACCTGGTTTTAATCTTATACTGTAAGGTAGAGGTTGGCAAAGATTTTCTATGAAGGACTTAATATTAAATATTTTAGATTTTGGCTTGATCACAACTCTTCGTAGTGGAAGAATGGAATATTATAGATAAGATGTAAATGAACGAGTGTGGTTGTGCTCTGAAAACATTTTATTTGTGGCCAGCTTGTAGCCCTAGTGGATAGGGAGCCAGTTCCCACATAGCTGACTATGTGTGTTGAATCCTGGCCCCGGTGGTTTGAAAACCATGCCAGGTGCACGTGCTTGTGAATCCCAACAGTAGAGATTATGGCATAATGATCATGTCTCAATAACATGGGCTTTCTCCCTCTCTTACTTTCTGTATCTCTCTGGTAAGTGCATGTGCCCTATGGCAATTAAAAAATAAAAAAAAATATTATTTACAAAACTAACTGCTAGTTTGCAAACCTAAGAGGCCAAAAGGGAATACCAGGGTATCTGAGACCATAAGTCCTGAATTGATGACATAGCCCATAGAAAGGAAACAAACAGGAAGTAGTCCATATTTCAAAAACAGACTTTTTTTTTTAAGATGATACAGGCTTAATTTTTTCTTTCAATCTTGAATTTATAAACTCTTTATCTCTCATTTTTTTTTCTGTTTAAAAAAAAAAAATGACTGTTCCTAAACGATTATAACTAACTATCCAAGATGAGGATGATACTGGTTACAGAGGATCTCTTCCAGAGGATTGTAATCACATTTGACAAATGCAAAAGATCACTGGTTCACCAATGCAGCCATATACTTAAACTCCAAAAATAAGTGTAGTGTTTTGATATGCCCTTCTATGCTTTTGGAGAGTAGTCTACATCTGAGATAGAAAAAACTAAATACAATTCAAATCCTTACTATTGGTCATCAGAAAAGTCACGATACATTTTTGCATAGAAAAAAAGAAAAATACGTCCTGACTTTTCTAGGGACCCAATATATTATGGAGAAAATAATTCCACTCCTTGGTATTGATCCAAAGAACAGGAAAACACTCAATGGGAAAGACACTCGGACATCCATGTTTATTGCAGCATTATTTGCAATTGCTAAAACATGGAACTAACCTAAGTGTCCAAAAACTGATGACAAAGTTGAAACACTGTGACACATAAACACTATGGAATATTACTCAGCTATAAGGACCAAAGAGACCCTATTGTTTGATTCAAAGTGAATGAATATAGAAAACTTAATGTTAAGTGAAGTGAGCCAGACTTTGAAAGACTCACACTATATATCCCCATCAAATCTCTATTGAATGTCTGCACTCTATAGTAGAAATGGAAAGATGAAAAGAAATGGGAGTAGAACGGCTAAGTGTGGATACCATGAACTCTAAGGGAAGGAAGTAGATGGTAGAGAGTGTGTGGTGGAGGTGGGTGTGAGGTGCAAAGGGAGGAAACATTTAAAAGATTAAAAACATGTGAAGTTCTCTGTTGAAAATATATACATATAGTGTATATCATGATGGAGATTTATGTAAAATGTGAAATTAATCTGAAAATTAAAAAGGTATTAAAAACAATCAAATCAAACTGTGCCAACAGTTCCATATCCACAATCAACAAATACTGAATGCACACCTCATCCTCCTATACACTAGGCATGTTTTAGGAAACAAGAAAAAAAAAAGAATTCGTTATCTTCGTGGTCACTGAACAAGACAAGGATATTTCCTTTCTTTCTTTTGTTTCTTTTTCAGTTGCTAGAGGGTGCATGTATTGCCAGAAGGAGACAGAGAGACAGAGGAAGAGAGAGAGAAAGCACCTTCCAATGGGACATGGCCACACTATAATCCCTGCTCCTCTATTTCTTCACACTGTTGGTATTTTAGGCACACATACACATACACACACACATAGGTGTGGCATGGTTTTTAAAGACACCAGGACCTGGACGGGAAATGAGGTCAACCATGTGAAATCTGACTTTCCCTAACAACTAGACTACAGGGCCAGCCCAGAAAAAATATGTATTTTCTACAGATAATGACTACTGCAAATTACTTCACAGAGAAAAAGCGAGACATCGGCTGCAGTTATCTCCCACTTTTACATACCTGACTATCGAGAAGCTGCATCACATTCTGGAAATCCTGGGGATATGGAGGACGGTCTTCTTTAAACTCATGTGCATCTTTTAATGTGCCTATGTTGGACTTGATCTGCATATTGGACTTCTGGATTTCTGACAATTGCTATAAAATAAAATTCAGAAATCACCCGTACAGATTTTTTACTTTTGCAAGACTAAAACAACAGACTTGGAGAGCTATGTTTTTTGTTTTTGTTTTTGTTTTAGAGAGAGATTTTTGCTATAGGGCATGTGCACTCACCAGAGAGACAGAAAGACAGAAAGTGAGAAATCACACCCCAAAAGGGCTGGCCATGCTGCAATTCCTTCTCCTTCATTCTCCTTTTTGGATTTTGGGTACACATGCACATGCACCCAGCATTGAGTTTTAAGCTGCTGGGCCCAGGACTTGAACCACCCCGTTGGCCAAGTGAGAGTCCAGCAAAGTAACCATTACACCACCTGCTGGTCCTGGAAATCCTAATTTTCTAATCTTAGACAATGAGTCTTTAAAAATTAGACAAGTTGGGGCCAATAGAGGGCATGGTGGTCAGGGTACTGGACTTCCACGTGGCTGACTACAATTTGAGTCCTGGACCTGGCTTGTATTCTCACTTTCTCTCTCTCTCTCTGTGTGTCTCTCTCTGGTACATGTGTGTGCCCTGTAGCAAATTTAAAAATTACAATAACAAATACTACTGAATATATGGTTCTTTAAACAAAATAAAAATAAAAATTCAATGAGTATGTAATGGTTGCCAGGAACAGAATAACTGGGTGCTGCTGATTCTTAAATTAAGACAATTTAGTGAAAGCCTCTGCTGCCTGAGGACCATGTTGGTAAATCCACTAGGAATATAACATTTCAATCTTACCCTTTGCTTTTTAATGTTATTCCCAAAGTTACCCGCGGCAAAAAAACTAAGAAAATCACAGAAGGTAATAAGTTAACTTCAGAAACAAGAGGATAGGAAAGCATACTTCTCTACTCAGTGGTGGGGTGCTCACAGTGACTTCATTTCAAAGAGCCTGGCTTGTATTCTCACTTTCTCTCTCTCTCTCTGTGTGTCTCTCTCTGGTACATGTGTGTGCCCTGTAGCAAATTTAAAAATTACAATAACAAATACTACTGAATATATGGTTCTTTAAACAAAATAAAAATAAAAATTCAATGAGTATGTAATGGTTGCCAGGAACAGAATAACTGGGTGCTGCTGATTCTTAAATTAAGACAATTTAGTGAAAGCCTCTGCTGCCTGAGGACCATGTTGGTAAATCCACTAGGAATATAACATTTCAATCTTACCCTTTGCTTTTTAATGTTATTCCCAAAGTTACCCGCGGCAAAAAAACTAAGAAAATCACAGAAGGTAATAAGTTAACTTCAGAAACAAGAGGATAGGAAAGCATACTTCTCTACTCAGTGGTGGGGTGCTCACAGTGACTTCATTTCAAAGAGCACAGGATAGAAAAGCGGAAAAAAGACTACCTCGGCCAGGTGATCAAGGTCAACATGAACATCCACAAATCGTATAGACAGTATGAATCCTTGATACAATGTGATCAAAGTGGCATTCTATCTCCAAGGTCTTCTACCAAAAAAAAACTTACAAACTCAGACTCATCGTGAGAAATGTATCAGGTAAGTTCCAAGAGCAGAGCATCCTACAATGTTCCTGACCAGTACGCCTCAAAATTGTCAGGGCCGTCAAAAAGAAGTTTGAAAAACTGTTATAGACAAGAGGAGCCTACGGCAACATGACAACTAAATACCCAGGTGGTATCCCGGATAGGGTCCTGGAGCAGAAAAAGGACAGTAGGTAAAAGAGAAATCTGAAAAAAGTATGGACTCTAAAACTAATTATCCACAGTAGGTCGTTAATTCTAGCAAGTGCACCACGTTAGTGTAAGATGTCAATAACAGGGAGGCCCAGCCAAGGTGCCACATGCTGCTAAGACACCATGTTTTGCAGGCTGAGATCTGGTGGGAACCCTGGATTTGATTCCTGGTTCTATCTAAAGGCCAGGCAAGGTCTGCACCTGCAATCCCATACAATTGGGGAAGCTAAGACAGGAGGATCAGAAATAGAAAGACCTTGCCAATAAAAAAAGAAAAGAAAAAAAGAAAGACAAGTCATCAGTATTAGGAAAACCATGTGAAGGGTAGGGAAGGAGGGTTTATGTGGAACATTCTGTCCTACCAGCTCAATTTTTCTGTTAGTTAAAAACTATCCAGGGACCAGTAATAGTTCTGTCACTGGACTCCCACATTGTTAAGCACGGTTTGAATTCTGGATTTGGCAGCTTAAAAAAAAAAACTCACGCTGGGTGCGTGTGCACGTCCCCAAAATCCAGAGAGGAAAATAGAGGAGAAGAGATTGTGGCATGGCCATTCCCCTTGGAGGTGGGAGGAAGGGTGATTTCTCACTTTCTGTCTTTCTGGCAAGCACACATACCCTATAGCAAAAATCTCTTTCTGAACACAATAACAATAACAAAGTCTAATAATAACAGTAAATTGTTAAACTCTCCATGGCCAAAAAGACAAACAACTCAAAATGTCCATCAACTCGTGAGTGGACAAATGAAATCTGGTAGATCCATACAATGGAAGAAGTTGTCCCCCTCATCTGCAGTTTTGCCTTCTGCAGTTTTAGTTACCCACAGTTAACCATGGTCCAAAAATATTAAGGGGAAAGTTCTAGAATTAAACAGTTCATCACTTTAAATTGTGTGCTACTCTGAGTACACGATGAAATCTCAGGCCTCCCACTCCACCCCACCCGGGATGTGAATCACCCCTCCGTCCAGAGTCTCCACACTGTACACACTACCGGCTCATTAATGGGAAGCCTTCTTGGTTATAATGAAAAATCACAATGTAAAGAGGGTTCAATACTATTCAAGGTTTTAGGCTTCTACTGGGTATCTTGAAATGTATTCCTCACAGATACAGAGAGGCTACGGTATTATTCAGCATTAAAAATAATAAAGAACTTATATAAGCTACGATATGGAGGCATCTTGGGAACGTTAGGCCGAGGGAAAGAAGCTACTTAAAGAAGACCACATGGTATGATTCCATTTATATGGGCTATCCAGAATAAGCAAATCCATGGAGACAGAAAGACCAGTGCTAATGGGTCCGCGGTTTCTTCCTGCGGTGAAGATGCCCTAAGATGACTGTGATGACGGCTGTATAACTGTGACTGAGAACCAGGGCGTGGTATGCTTTCAGTGGTGAATTGTATGGTAAATGAACTAAATCTCAAAACACTGTTTCTTTCAAAAGTTAACAGTGGTAAAGCCGTGGGGAAAAGTCCTATTCCATAATTATCCTGTAGACAGGAACCACGTAGGGAACTGCCCACAAAGAACTGTAACTGGTACCATATCACCAGGGACAAAATGAGTGTGACGTTGATGGGGAAGACACAAGAAGCCAGTCTTAAATTGGCTGGTATGAATATCCCCTTCTGTTGGTCAAATGGACATTGAACATCATGCAATGATAGAGGTCACAAAAGACTGTTCTTTTGACTTTCTTAACCATTTACAAATTTAAAAGCCATTCTTAGCTCGTAGGAAGAAGAAAAAGAGGTGACATGCCAGATTTGGTACATGATCCAGAGTTTGCCAACCTTTATGCTAGAGTTTAAAGAGTTTTGGAGAAGGGCCTTAGCAGAATTCAAAAACACCTGTTTTCTTTTATAAAGCTGGTTGGCCCCTAGAGGGAGCTCAAGGATCTTCCCTCCACTCCCTTTTCCCCAAGGATGACTCGGACAAACCTGCCCAGTGAGCTCAGCATTCTTAGTGGGAAGACACTGACTAGCCACTTTGAGGAAGGATGACAATAAAGGTCACAGCCCAGGTAGGTGATCCTGTTTGTGACCAGGGCAGTATGACTTAGGGCTATTACAAGTGGAGACTCAGGTTCTTTTAGTTATAGACTACTTTCTTTAGAGACCTCGTCTTCCTCACCAGTCAGGCTGGAAGTGAGGAGGATGCCTGGCAAAAGTTCCTGTTTTTTTTTTTTTTTTTTTCCTGGGTTTTCTTCCTTTTCCTAAGTTCGTGATCTGCAGCAACCTTTCCAACCACGACAGTGGAAAGTTCAAAACTCAGGGAGAGGTTTATTGTTTCAGGCTACTTAAACAACGTAACCAGATAAAGAAAGAGAGGCCTTCTTCTATGACCTGAACAAATGCACCTCACAGTGTTCTACAATGGGGTTTGGGACTAAAGCATTCATTCTCAACAAAATGATTTCTCCTGCTTACTCTGCCTTCTGTATGTCTCAAGATTCTCAAGGAGAAGTGTCTACACCAGGGCCTGGTAGAGTAACTTCCAGATCCCTTGGCAATAATGTCATTTTAACACCATCTCTCAAGGCAACCCATATGATGAGAATTTTTGGGTTTAATACTTACATATTCTAAGGATGAATTCTTGGAAGTTAATTCTTTAAACTCCTTCATAAACATCTCCTTGACTTTTTCCATTTCATCAACTAGCTTCTCCTTTTCTTCTTCCTTCCATCTATCAAATGACTTCAGAAATTCTTCCTCTTTTGTTTTCTGCAGTTCATATTCCTGAAACGATTTTAATACATGGCTTTCAAAGTACTGGTATTAAGCAAATATGCAGAATTTAGAATAAATGGTCATGGCTTTACTTCGGCCATGTTAGCTGATATTGCTTCTTTCACCTAGGCCTGTGAGTAGCTCTTCGTATTATGGCAGGGGGGGGGGGGATGATTTTTCTAAGCTAACGGTGGCATCCCTTGAAATAGCAACCCAGGCCCAACGGCAGTAGTGCAGGTGGTATGAGCCTCTGCACAGTACTGGGGCCATGTCCAGGCCTGGACTGACCCAAACGTGCTGGCCATACTGTGCTCACTGCTGTGATCCTGAGGGCTGGCAGGTTGGGAGGAGGATCACAGCAATGCAAGACCCTGCAAAGCAAAGGGCACTCTGTTGCTAAAAGAAACAAATGTTCCTGGCAACCATTACATACAAAGTCATAATGCATCTTTGCATAGAAAAAAATAGGTCATGATTTTTTTGACAACTTAATAGACATGTTACTGTTGCAACACAGAGACCCAAAGCCTCCAGCTTTTTGCATCCTTGTGAACATGTAGAAGACATGCCCAAATACGTCAAATGTACGAATGCTTTGAAAGAAAAATTCTGAGGGGTAGAAAAAAATCTTTCTTGGCACTGTAGGAATTTAGCTTCATCTCCCACAAAATCCCACCAATTCAGATTAATTTGATCTACATTCAAGGTCTAATCCGGCAACACTTGCTGTCTTTATTATTATTTTTTTAAATGTAAAGTGGAGACTTGAACAACACAATAAACCAAGTAAATCTAACAACACTGTAGTCAGCAATGGCAGAGCATATGTTTTTCTTAAATGCACAATGAACATTCACCAGGAAAGACTATATATCGAGTTGTCAAATGTTCCTCAAATTTACAAAAATAGAAATCATGTAATTTTGTCATAGAAGGAATAAGTGAATAAACTAAAAAGAGAACAAAACAGAATTATCCAGTAATTCTACTGGTAGGTATAAGCACAAGAGAAATGAAAACATGTTCTCAAAAAATCTTGCACACATGGGTTGGCTCCATGGCATGGTGGGTTAGGCAGCCAGAACCCATTTGGATGAATGTGTGGTTAGAGTTTCAGAGCCAGAGGCTTGAGAAACATGCCAAGTCTTTGCGTGTGTGTGCCCAAAATCCCCAAAGGAGGAGAGATGAAGGAGAAAAGTTTGTGGCTTAACTATTTCCCATGGGGGATGCTTTCTCTTCTCTGTTTCTGTCTCTGATGATGAGTGCATGTACCCTCTAGCAAAAAACACACACAAAAGAACCTTAAAAAATGTGCACATGTATACTGTATCCGTATTATTCATTACAGCCAAAAGGTGAAAACAGTCTAAATGCTCATCAGTGTATGAATAGATAAACAAACTGTGGTACATACATACAAGAGATTACTCAGCAGTAAGAATGAAAAGAAGCAGGGATACATGTTACAACTTCAATGAACCTCAAGACCTTATATTAATTGAAAGAAGTCAGACACAAAAGGTCGCACTTATATGACTGCTTTGGTATGAGGTATGCAGAACAAACAAATTCGTAGAGACAGAAGAAAGATTTGTGGTTCTCAGGGGGTGCAGGTAGGGAGTGATTACTTAATAGGTACAGGATGTTTTTCTGGAGTATTGAAAACATTTTTAAAGTAGAGAATTGGTTTACAACATTGTGAATACACTCAATGCCACTGAATTGTATGCTTAAAAAGTGGTCAATTGTGTCCCAAAGAGATATCTGTCCACCCGTGTTCAGAGCGGCGTCACTCACAATAACCATGCAGTGGAAGGAACATAAGTGTTCAAGGATAAATGGATAAACAAAATGTGGAATGCGGTATACACACGCAATCAAATATTGTTCAGTCTTAAAAAGAAAAGAAATTCTGACATGTGCTATAACATGAATATACCAGAGGGCATTATCTTCTGTGAAATGACTCAGTTATAGACTCAGCAGGTGGCATAGTGGTTAAGGCGCTGGACTCCCACATGGCCAACCACAGTTTGAGTCTTGGACCTGGTGGTTTAAAACTCATGTTGGGTGCATGTGTGCCCAAAATCCCAAGAGGAAAATGGAGGAGAAGGGATTATGACATGGCTATCCTTGCTAAGGGGTGATTTCTCACTTTCTCTCTGTCTCTCAGGTGAACACACATGCTCTATAGCAAAAATCTCTCTAAAAACATTTTCAGTTACATAAAGACAAAAACTCTGATTCTAACTTATATGAAATCTCTAGAGTAGTCAAAGTCATAGAAACAGAAAGTAGAAGGGCTGGACCGCAGTGCTGTGATAAATCATGTCACCCTGTGAAGCTGACCCGAATGGGAAGGTTCCAGTTTCTCGGCTGGGGGCTTCCCTGAGTGTGCCGGCAGGCACGTCCGCATGATCCAGGGCTGCCTGAGGCTAGGGTGGATCACAGTGTCAGGACCCTACTGGAGGTATCTGTTTCACTCTCTCGCTCTCTTTCACTCATGGAAATAAATAATTTTTTAAAAGAAGGACTCATAATTACATTACTGGATGTGTTCTGAAGTATAAATAAAATACATTGTAAAGTTAAAAAAAAAAAAAGGAAAAAGAGGGACCTGCAGTTGTGGTAATGGTTATGTTGCTGGACTCCCACGCAGTTGACCGTGGCTCAAGTCCCAGACTCAGTGGCTTAAACTCACAACAGGCACGTGTGCATGTGTGCCCAAGCCACGGAGAGAAGAATGGAAGGGACTGCGGTGCGGCCATCCCCCCTGGGGGAGTGACTTCTCACTTTCTGTCTCTCTCTGTCTTTCTGGCGAGTGCATGCGTCCTATAGAAAAACCTCTCAAAAAAAAAATAAAAAATAAATAAATGGTGGCACGATGGCTAAGGTGGCTGGAACCCACATGTTTAACTGTGTAGTGGAAGTCTTCGACCTGGTGCTTTTTTTTTTTTTTGGAGAGGTTTTCGCTATAGGGCACGTGCACTCACCAGAAAAACAGAGAGAGACAGAGAGATAGAAAGCGAGAAATCACCCCCCAGAGGGGATGGTCATGCCGCAATCCCTTATCCTCCATTCTCCTCTCGGGAACTTGGGCACGCACGCACACGCGCCCAGCGTGAGTTTTAAGCCACTGGGTCCGGGACGCGAACCGCGGTTGACTACGTGGGAGTCCATAGCCATTACGCTAACTGTTGTCTCCCTGGACCTGGTGCTTATAAAAAAACACCAGGTGCATGTGTGTACCCAAAATCCTGAAAGGAGAAATGGAGGAGGAGGAATTGTGGCACGGCTGTTCCCCACAGGAGTACTTCCTCACTTCCCTTCTGTCTCTGTCTCTCTCCAGTGGGCACATGTGCTCTCTAGCAAAATTAAGTTAAAAAAACAAAACAAAACAAAACAAAAAACTGACACTAGTGTATTTTATGTTACATGAATTTTTACCGTAATTTTTTTTAAAAAGAGAGCTCATCTGGAAGACAGAGGGCTCCATCACCTTATCAATGAAACGACTTGCTATTTTCCCTAAGAAGTTGTACTTCCTATCCCCATGGCAGGAACAAAGAAGAACTAAGCATATCACATCATCCTGGCAGTGATAAGGAAAAAAAATGCTCTTTTAAGATACTGTTCTGTCCACGAAGTGCACAGAGGTCAATCCTCTGGAAAATCCACGATGGCATTCTTTGTACCCACTGTGACCCACAGCATACGCATTCTGACCCACAGCTGTCAGACTATCACATCTCAGTCCTCTTTCCTACTGAAACCCTTCAGTGCCCTTGAGTAACTTTGAACAAGACATTCCAGCCACCCTTGACCCATGGGTCACAGAGATGGGGAGGAAGAAGAAAAAGAACAGATCTGGTACATGAGAGAGACTCAACCCACCACTGGTGGTTTTAAATATGGAAGAAGGGAGCCATGAGTCTTTGTGAGTAGCCTCACAAAGAGATTAGCAGCAGTGCTCATCCAACAGCCAGCAAGAAAGTGGGGACCTCAATCCTATAACTGTGAGAAACTAAATTCTGCCTACAGTCCAAATAAGCAGGAATATTTTCTGTTTTGGCCTCCCATCACGAACATGGCCCTACAGCATCATGAGTTTAGCCCAGTGAGACTCATGTCAGATATCTGAAAGAAATGTAATAGTCAATGAAAAACGTGGTTTGTTTTAAACATGAATAGGCATCAATTGTATGTTATGTGAATTTCACCTAAAAAAGCTTCAAAAAACAGAGAACTATTGATCTACTTCCAGTGATTTGATTTGCAGTAAGATATTGAAGAGTAGACTGGGAGAACGAAATACTAATGATTCCTCTGTTCCTCTGCTTATTAGAATCCAAGGCACAACTGAATGACAAACAGCAGGTTGTATGTAAAATACCATTGTTTCTGAACCTCGTACCGTACCTTTGAGAATCTGACCGCATGGGCATGCTGTGCCGCCTCCAACTGAGACTTGGTGAGTTGCAGCTGTTCCTTCAACATGTCGATCTCACTCTGGAGTTTATCCGTCTGTGCTTGTTTCTTATACTCTGTTGCAACAGAAAATCTTGTTATAACTTGCTGTCTCTTATGGAATGCCTCAAACTTAAGGGGTAGGGTCTATTGATAAGACAGAGGGAACAGCTCTTACTTGGGACACAATTATTTGCTGTTCATGCCACAGGAGCCAATTGTTGCTCTTTAGTGTTTATTTGGAATAAGACTTGGTATTATTGGGCACCAAATTATTCTAAGCACTCTTTTACCCGCTGTGTTGAGACAAAGCGAGAGCCCTGATTTGGGGACAATGATGGCGACAAGGAATCATTCAAGTTGTTGTGAGCTAGTGGCACACTAGCATCTGAGAGATGCCTGTTTCAATTAGAAAGGGGAAGCAATGGCTTCCAGTGCAGATACCGCCATATTGACATTTCTATGGTCGTCCTGGCCCCCACAGAACTTTCCTGAGAACCCCATGGGAACTAATACATACTGGCAATATCGGCATTCAAATGCAAACTCTGGCCACCCCCTGTCAACTGGGACAAAGCGAGGTACTGAAAAGTTGTAAAAAGAAGCAACAAGTGAAGGGAAGAATACTTATGTACATGTACTTACATGCAGATGTACACATGACTGAATGGATATACATGTGTCTGTGAGTGTAGACATGAAAGGTATGGAAACCAAAGTAGAAAGTCAGAATCTCAAAGATGACCTGAAGAAATAATACTCATTTCAGAGACTGAAATCCTCTCTGAAACGAGTATGAGACAGAATAAGATACTGAAACAGAAGAGAAAGAAGGTCAGTTTCATGCTGAAGAATGCTAGATTAAAATATTTCATCTTTCCAATATATTGCTAGGTTGTATCAACGATCCATGGCTTATAGGAGCTTTATATGGTTTGTTTTGTTTTTACAAAGCTTAGCTATTTCCTTAAAACATCTATTCCTGAAATGGGCAGAAGTAAAAACAGGCCCCAAGAGGAAAGCAACGCAGAATCCAGCTAAGTACATATGTTAAGATACTAAAACATTTAAGATCAGAATGAGACTTTTTGGGGGGGTTATTGTGGCTACCTGCAGAAAGCTTTGGTCTGCTTGTGGAGACAGAAACCTAATATTCTTAGCTTTTGAAAATATTTAAGTGGTAGGAATCTGGTTCCTTTGTAAGCCATGGAATGTTCTCCTTCTCTTGCATTTTCATTTCTGTCTATATTCTGGTTGGCACCTACCAGCACCAAACACACCTAGAACTTCCCACAGCAAACTAAATGAGATTTTTTCCCATGGTCCCACATTTCTGTCCAGGTGATGCCTCGCGTCTCTTCTCTCCTTCCCAGCAAACGTTATGGAAATCTATGTCTGTGATAGATAAGATCCCTCCCCTTGTGATTCTCAGTTCTCACGCAGATGGAGATTTTGTCCCCATTAATCCACTGAAGTGGCTGGCAAGGTCACCGACAACTGTCTTGACCACACTTAGTTCTCAGTCTTCATCTTACTCCATGCCTCAGGAACATTATTTATTTATTTATCGAGAGAGAATTATGCTACACGGTGCGTGTGATCACCAGAGAGACAAAGCGAGACAGAAAGTGGAAATTACCCACCGCCCCCGCCCCTGAGGGGATGGCCACACTGCAATCCCTTCTTCTCTGTTCTCTCAGGATCTTGGGTACTCATGCACACGTGCCCAGTGGGTGTTAAGTTGCTGGGTCTGGAATTGGAACAGTAGTCAATTATGTGGGAATCCAGCCACGTAACCAGTACACCACCTGCTGGTCCCTCAGGAACATTTAATACAATTGACCACTACCTCTGTCTTGAATACCTTTCCCTTGGCTTCCATGACAACAAATCTTTCCACTGTCTCTCCTGCCTTGCTAGCTGCTATTTTTCATTCTCCTGCATTGCTTGCCCTGAGCTCCTAGCATTGGGACAGCTTGGGGCTGACCTTGGCCATTCTTCTCTGTATAGATGACCTCAGCCAGTCCAGTTCTACTCCCCTGATTCCCTGATTTCTCTCAGCCTGGTTCTCCATCTCAAACTCACCTCCAGCACCCCACCTGCACACCTACTGGATGTGCGATGTTCATGTACCCATTGCCACACTCCTTTCAATGACTTCCCAGCCCTTCATCACAGTAACCATCACTGTTGTTCACCCAAACATTGGGATAAAAAACCCAGGATCATCTTTGCTTCATCTCTTGCTCTCACTCTGAGTCTTATTTTTGTGGATTCTGTCCATAAAAGACATGTCCAACACATGTCTTTTCCGCCTCTATCTCTCCATAGTCCTAGACCTTAGACCAAGCTACCATCTTATCTCACCTAGGCTGCTGCTGCAGCCTCTTCTTCCTCCACCTGTTTCCATTATGGCCCCTGTAGTCTATTCTCCATCCACAGCTAGAGGGGATGTTTTAAGGAACAAATTAGATTATGTCCTCCCCTACTTAACCTTTCCCTGTGGTTTCCCATTACACTGTAGAAATACCCACCTTTCTGCAGAGAGCCTTCAAAGCCTCCTCTGACCTGGCTCCACCTCTCCAGCCACACACTACCTTGCTCAGGCTACTCCATCAGCTTCCTCTCTGCTCCTCAAACAAGTCACCCTGCTCCCCCTCACCCCTTAGAATTAGGCTCCCTCTGCCCGAGATACCCTTTTCTGAGATTTTCACCAGGCTGCAACCTCCTCGTCTTTCTGGTCTCTGATTTGATATGGCCTTCTCAGGGAGGCTAGGGCTGATCACCTGGAGTCACTCTCCATCTCATCCTCCCAGTATGTCATCTTCATCACATTTGCCACCATTTGAAAAAAGTTCTCATTTATTTGTTTGTCTCCTCGGCTGCTCCATGAGAATGTGAGACTCAGAAGAGCAGGACTTATCTGTCTTGCTTATAGCTGTATGCCCATCAACAAGGACGCCACCTGCACATAGTAGGTGCTCGGTATTTACTTATTCGATCAGTGCCAACTGTGATATTTTCCTTTAAAGGACTGAGAAATGCACTGGACCATGTCTCCTTGAAAAAATAGAGGGGAGCAGAAAGCAGATAGCTCTGCAACAAAGCTTGTGACTTACCCAGGTGAGAATCTTCAGGGTGGCGGCGTTGAATGTGACTTTGTAGAAAAGCTTGGTTCATAAAGGCCTTGTCACAAAAATGGCACTGAAAAGGAAAGAGCAGCAAATTCAAGTGTCATTGTCAAGTGTCCTCCCACCGAAATGAGTGTCTCCCCACCTAAAAATCTAGGTACCTACAGCACTACCTCCTGGGGGCTTTCTCTGAGAGATGACTTACTTCTTGGCAAGTACGTTAACACGTGAAAGTTAATGCCTCAATACAACAGCTGACCAACCATTTGTTGACTTTCCTCCAGTACTACACATGAGAACACGACGGAAAAGATAAACATAATAGCAGGACATGCTTCTCAAAGTGAACACGGGTGTGAATATCATCTCTTGACAGTTCCAAGTAGCCCTTCTGGTGCTTTCTGGAAATCCTGATGTTGCTCTCCTTAGATGGGTGGCTCCCACCCTGTTACCAACTGGCTTGTGTCACTCCAGCTACACTGGTCTTCCTTCTGGTCCTCAAGCATGCCAGCCTCAGCCTTTGCACTGGTTATTCCCTCTGCCTGATCTTCCCGAGGCCTTCCCATGGCTGGTGCCCTCTTGACATCGAAGATGTCATTCATTGAGCATCTTTCCACATGGCAGATGCCAGGCCATCCTCATTACGGTTTTCCCTGATGAGCCTATTGTCAGTCACTGTCACATCACATTGTCTTATTTCTATCACTGTCAATGTCATCAGTTAATATTTTCTCATATTTATTTACTTATTTATTTAAATGGAAGCAATTGGGTCATATTTAGATCCTAATTTGAACAAGCAAACTTAAAGAGCAAGTCAGACAGTGGATGACATGCGAATACTGACTGGATATCTGACATATAGGAATTATTCATTATTATTTTTGGTGTGATAATAGTAATTTGGCTATGTTCTTTTAAGAGTTATTTATCTTTTAGCAATACCTACTGAAATATTTATGAATGACACAATAAAAATAATCCAGTCAGGGAGCCGAGAGTATAAGTAAAACAAGCTTGGCCATGAGTTGACAATTTTTGAAGCTCAGTGATGGGTCCACTAAGGGCTTATTATGTCATTCTTTTATGTAGTTTGATGTTTTCCACACTGAAAACTTAAAAATAAAAAGACCTTTAGCTTCGAATGAAGTGAATGGTAAAGGTTATAATTTACATTTAAAAGCTTTTAATTATTATGTAATAATTGTACCTAATTTTGAGATACAATGTGATTTCTCAGTAGAAATATACAGTGTGTATTGATTAAGCCAAGTAAGGAATACACTCATCGTTTCAGCCATGTGTCATTACTTTAGGCTGGGAACATTAAACATCTTTTTAATGTTTTGCTAGATGACTAGCAAAGCTAGATTATAATAAACTTTTGGAAAATGTTTCGATAGAACCCATTCTAGTCATTGTACAAGGGAAAAAGCCATCAAAGTACTACTTATAAATATTTAACTTAAACTGGCACTTATGAAACAAGTAAGTGATGAGTGACCTCAAATAACATTTAAAGATTATATTTCAGGCTTGCCTACTCAAAGTTCAACACTAAGCCTTTTTAGCAGTATTCTTTCCTAACTAGTAAACTAGCTTACACATTGAGGGAGATCTTCAAAAAGTTAGTAAAAAAATGCTTATTATGAAAAAATAATGTATGGGGAACCAGCAGTTAGCGTAATGGCTATGTCGCTGGACTCCCACGTAGTCGACCGCGGTTCGTGTCCCGGACCCGGTGGCTTAAAACTCACGCCGGGCGCGTGTGCGTGCGTACCCAAGATCCCGAGAGGAGAACGGAGGAGAAGGGATTGCGGCGTGACCATCCCCCCTGGGGGGTGATTTCTCGCTTTCTGTCTCTATGTCTCTCTCTGTCTGTCTGGCGAGCACACGCGCCCTACAGTGAAAATCTCTCCAAAAAAAAAAAAATAATAATAATGTATGGACTTCAAACTTTTTTTTGCACCAAAGTAAGCTTGTACTTTAATTCCATTGTTTCACACACTTTCTGAAGCCCTCTAGAACATTTCTTTCAGTGTCCCTTTTGGGTCAGTCCTAAGAAATACTAACAGTACCATTTCCTCTGCCCTACAGAGTTTCCAGCGTTCACATGATTCAGCTCCACCATGTCTAAGTCCACGGAAGCCTTTGAAGCCATGCTTAGACAAAATGACTGGAAAGCAGGAGTGTGAAATCAGTCTTGTGAATCTTACTTCAATCTTTATCAAACATTATTTAAACCTTTTACACTCCAACCAATTGATGAATTAGATACACATTTGTGCCTGCAGGTGGCATGGTGGTTAATGAGTTGGATTCCCATATGACCCACCATGATATGGGTCATGGACCTAGACCTGGAAGATTAAGAATCACACCAGGCATGTATGTGTGTGTGTGTGTGTGTGTGTGTTCAAAATCCCAGGAGAAGAACAGAGGAGAAGAGACTGTGACATAGTCATATAGTCATTCCATCCCCTTGGGAGTGATTTCTCACTTTCCCTCTTCCTGTATCTTTCTGGAGAGCACACATACCCTATGACAAAAACCTAAAAAAAAAAAAAAGCAAGGCAAAAAATTAATTCATAAAAATTTGAAAAGGAAGGATATACATTAATTTCTCAAAAGTTGCAATATTTATCTTGGACTCAGTGTTGAAATCATAACCATTGGAGATTAAGACCAGAGAAACAAAAATGTTTAATTCTTTAAGTACTATTTTTATATAGATAGATGTTCTTGTTTTTAGAAAATTACATACTGAAATACTTAGGAGTGTGCAGCTCATTGTGAAATGGTTCAAAAGTGGTAACAATATATATTAAGGCAGAGGAAATTAGAACAATGTGGCAAATACTAATAACTGGTGAAGGGGACACAGGTGATGTTGTGGATAAGGCGCTGGACACCCACGTGAAAGAACAAGGTCTGAGTCCCAGACTATCGGCTTGAAACTTGCACTGGATGTGTTTGTGTTTGTGTGTGCATGTGTGTGTGCCCAAAATCCTGAGAGGAGAATGCAGAAGGGACTGCAGCATAGCCATCCCTCCTTGGGGGTGATTTATTACTTTCTGTGTCTGTCTGTTTCTCTGGAGAACGCATGTGCCCTGTAACAAGTCACTCAAAAAAAAAAAAATAAATTGGTGGATCTAAAAAAAGGTTACATGAAAATATTTTGTTCATGAAACATTTTTTTTCAGTTAGAGAACATGTAAAAATTTTTAAAATGAGAAAAAATAAATAGCAATGTAATCATTCCAAATCATTTGGGGGATTGACCTCGACAGCTATTTTGCATATGGGTGATTTTTCATGACATTGAGTAGGAGGAGAAAATAAATTTCAACAGCCAGTATTTAGATGCCTTTCATAAAGTTCTGCAGACAACACTGGTTGTTTAATTATTAACCCTTTGGTTGTCTGCATAAGGCAATGAACCATGCCATCTACTGGTCAACAGGCCTGTTTTTGCTAAGATACACTTCGGTTCACTGTTCCTTCTCAAGTTATGTACAAATCTTTCAAACCCAAGAGTGGTGAGAGAGGAAAGGCCTCTGACATGGGACCAGAGCTGTGTTATTAGGTAAGTTGCGGCCACAGTGCAGTCGCCCACCTGGTAATAGCTGGCTTTGGCCTCGATCATGAGCTGCTGGGTGGAGATCATCTTCTTCCTGCGCTTGCACTCTTCCTTGAGGAGCTTGATCTCCCCCGCCTGCTTGGTGAGCATCTTCTTGCTCTGCTCGCAGTCGCTCAGGCTCAGGCGCAGCCGCTCCTCCAGGGAGTGCAGCTGCGAGGTGAGGAACTCCTGCGAGTGTAGCAGGTACTCAATGGTGAGCTGCGCCAGGCGGATGAGCTTCAGCAGCACCGGGTCCACCCCCGACTGGCAGTGCGGGCACTTCTCATCCTCCAGCTTGCAGAAGGTGATGTTCATGATGTTCTCCTGCAGTGTCAGCACGTCCACGGCTCCCGCCACCTTGTCCACGTCGATGGCGCTCAGCCGCCGCCAGTCCAAACTCTCCAGCCGCGGGCGGAGAAGGGTAGGGGGCCCGAGGCCGCGCTCGGGGGCACACAAGCCATGGGGGCCGCGCCCGCTGCGGCATTGGCCACAGGGACATCGGGACCCTCCGGGCCACTGGCCAGCGGGTAGTAGACGTGCTTCTGGAAGGGCTGAGGGAAGAGGAGACAGTGCGGCGGGAGGTGGGATGGGGCGTGCAGCCGGGGGTCATCCCGTGCATCCCGGCCGCCCGCATCCCGGCATCCCGAGCCTCTCGCCTCTTACCATGCTTGCAATCCAATGGGCGCCTCAGCTCGCATCAGAGGAGCCGGCGCTCTCC